TGAGCCACCTTCCCAGCCTGGACGCCATTCTTCAGCTCAAGGCTAGTGCTCTACTTGAGCCACTTTTGGTTTTCTGCTGGTTTTTTGGAGATAAGAGTTTCACGGATACTCGGCACCGGTGGTGGCTCATGCCTGTAATCCTAGCTACTCAGGAGGCTGAGATCTGAGGATCACAGTTCAAAGCCAGCCTGAGCAGGAAAGGCTGTAAGACTCTTATCTCCAATAAACCACTCAAAACTGGAAGTGGCGCTGTAGCTCAAGTGGTCGAGCGCTCGCCTGGAGCTGAAGAGCTCAAAATAAAACAAAAAAGAGTCTCATGGACTTTCGTGGCCAGGCTGGCTTTGAACCCAGATCCTCAGATCTCAACCTCCTGAGTAGCTAGGATTACAGGTGTGAGCCAGGGCCGGGATCCCACTCCACCCCCCCCCCCAGCTGGTCCTGGGGTTGAACTCAGGGCCTGGGCACTGTTCCTGAGCTAGCGCTCTATCACTTGAGCCACATCTCCACTTTCAACTTTTTGGTGGTTTATTGGAGATAAGTGTTCATGGACTTTCTTGCCTGGTTTGGTTTTGCGTGGTGATCCTTAGATCTCAGCCTCCTGAGTAGCTAGGATTATAGGTGTGAGCTACTGGCACTTGGCTCAATCTTTTAGTTGTTTTTGAGACCTAGTTGCCCTTGAACTATGTACATAGCTCAAGCTACTGGTCACAGTTTTGAGTTTTTATATATTTGCATGATTAATCATCGTGGAATTTGTTTTGTTATGTATCAGGGTGGTGTTAAATTTACTTTCTTTTAAATAGACTTCAGGCTTACAGAAGGAAAAGATTTATGCTTTTCTTTGTAGACTGAAAATTCTACCTTTTTCTTTTTTGTCAGTCTTGGGGCTTGAACTCTGGGCCTGGGGGCTGTCCCTCAGCTCTTCAGCTCAAAGCAAACGCTCTACCACTTGAGCTACAGCGCCACTTCTGGTTTTCTGGTGGTTTATTGGAGATAGGAGTCTCACGGTCTCTCCTGCCCGGGCTGGCTTTGAACCGCGATCCTCAGATCTCAGCCTCCTGAGTAGCTAGGATTACAGGCGTGAGCCACCAGCGCCCGGCTAATTCTACCTTTTTCTTACATTAAAGTCTTTGAAGTAAAAAGACATGAAGACTCATGCCTGTAATCCCAGGTACTCAAGAGGCTGAGGTCTGAGGATCATGGTTCAGAGCCAGCTGGGGCAGGAAAAGTCTGTGAGACTCTTTTTTTTTTTGTCAGTCGTGGGGCCTGAACTCTGGGCCTGGGCGCTGTCCCTCAGCTCTTCAGCTCAAGGCTAGCGCTCTACCACTTGAGCCACAGCACCACTTCCAGCTTTTTCTGCTTATGTGGTGCTGAGGAATCGCAAGGCAAGCGCTCTACCACTGAGCCACCTTCCCAGCCCCTGTGAGACTCTGATCTCCAATAAACCACCAAAAAACCGGAAGTGGCGCTGTGGCTCAAGTGGTAGAGTGCTCGCCTTGAGCTGAAGAGCTGAGGGAGAGCGCCCAGACCCAGAGTTCAGGCCCCATGACCATAAAAACAAAAAACAAATGAAATTGTTTTAGCTATGCTGAGGATGGAATTTCGGCCACACCCTAGCCTCACAAATTATTTTTTTTTTGGGGGGTGGGTCAGTCATGGGGCCTGAACTCTGGGCTGTTCCTCAGCTCTACAGCTCAAGGCTAGCGCTCTACCACTTGAGCCACAGCGCCACTTCTGGCTTTTTCTGCTTATGTGGTACTGAGGAATCGAACCCAGGTTTTCATGCATTGGAGACAAGCACTCTACCACTTGAGCCACCTTCCCAGCCCCTACTTTTAGCTTTTTGATGGTTAATTGGAGATAAGAGACTCCTGGACTTCCCTGTCGGGCTGGCTTAGGACCATGATCCTCAGATCTCAGCCTCCTAGTAGCTGGGATCAAAGATGTGAGCTTTCTTCCATCCCTCTTTTTTTTGAGATTGGATTTCAAACTTTCATCCTCACTTGCTGCAGACCAAGATCCTGCCCCCTCCAGCCTTTTGTATAGCTGGGATTTAAGATGTGGATTTAAGATGTGCACCACCATGCCCAGCTTGTTTGTTGAGATGCAAGCGCTCTACCACTGAGCCACCTTCCCAGCCCCTTGTTAACTTCTTGAGTAGGCTTTGAACATTGATCCTCCTCATCTCTGTCCCCTGAGTTGCTGGGATTACAGTTGGGGGCCCCATGCCTAACGTTTTCTTTGTGGTACTGGGGTTTGATGTGGGGGTCTCACCTGTAACCTTACCTCTGAGCTGCATCTCCAGCTAAGGAAGCTATGGTGTTTAGATAATTGAACAGGGAAGCCTTTCCAGAGTAATATTTCATAGAGGCCTGCGGCTAGGTGTCCTGGTACTTCTAGAAGAGTTTCTATACAGCCGGATCAGAACAGCCAGTGCAAAGGCCCTGAGGCAGTGAGGTTCCCAGTGATCCTGTGATATTACCCAGAGGCCAATGAGGCTGGAGGGGAGCCTGGCCAAGGGGACAGTGGGAGGAGGTGAGGGTCTGAGGGTGACAGGGTGGATCGTGTGCTCATGATTTTATGTATTCACAGGCACCTTTGACTAGATACTGTGACAGTTATGGAAGATGAGATGGTCATGAAGCTTAGTGGAGTTTGTCTGGAGGTCTAGGCAGGAAATGACTGGCTGTGAGGAACCTTTGGGTTCTGGATGGTTCTAAAGGCTGTGAACTTGAAAAGAAAGGGCCCCCAGGTTCCTGGCCTCAGCTCCTGGAAGCCTGATTGGGGGGCAATCACAAGCTTGGAGGACTGGAGGTGTGGCTCGAGTGGGGAGGGGCGTGGTCAAAACTACAGGCGTGGCCTAAGCCGGGGACTCAAGCGATAGGGGTGTGGCCAATGCAATGGGGCGGGGTCAATGCCATAGAAAGGGACTCAAAGTGATGGGGCGTGGTCAGTACGCTGGGGGCGTGGTCAAAGCCACAGAGAGGGACTGAAGTGGTCAGGACCTGGTCGATTCTGTGGAGTGTAAACAAAGCTATTTGGATGGGAGTCAAGTGGCAGGGCATGGTCAAAGCAGTGGGGGCGTGGCCAAATGCACCCAAGGTACTCAAGTGGTGGGGGTGTGGCCAAAGCAGTGGGGCGTGGTCAAGAAGCCATAGGGGCTGGGCTCAAGATGTGATCCTGACAGTGGGGGACCTGGCTCTAGCCTTAGAGCACCCACCAAGCAAGTGCAAAGCCCTAAGTTCAAACCCCAGTGAGTCTTAGCAGGCGCACAGAGCAGGCTGGCCTGTGGTCTCCTGAGGGACTGGTGCACACAAAGGTCTAGCCCAGACATTTGGGAACCGGTGGTGGGGACCCGGTAGGTGTGGTGCTGGGTCTTGGTGATCCCTGAGGGACTGCGTAGGTGAGAACAGAAGAGGCCTGTGTCTGGGCCGAGCTGGGTGGGGTGGACCGGCTGGCCCTGGCCAGCAGGGATTCTGACAACCACAGGAGTTCTTTGGGAGTTCTGTTCACCCAAGGGCATGGCTGAAGCCTCAAGCTCAGGGGTCAGATGGGGCCTCGTCACAGAGGCCTCTGGGAGGCAGTCACATTTTCCCTAGGGACCAGGTGAGTTAGTGAGCACAGGAATGCCTGAGGTGGAATTCCGGAGATAGCACTGGGACCATCATTATGTTTGATTGCTTTGGGTGTTTTTGAGACAGAATGTTGCTATGGAGTCCACGCGGACCTCTGATTCACAATCCTGCTCTTCAGCCTTCCAAGTGCTGGGATTACAAGTGTGCATCAACGGGCTGGGAAGGTAGCTCAGTGGTAGAGCACCTGCCTTGCATGCATGAGGCCCTGGGTTCGATTCCCCAGCACCACATAAGAGAAAAAGCCGGAAGTGGCGCTGTGGCTCAAGTGGTAGAGAGCTAGCCTTGTGCTGAAGAGCTGAGGGACAGTGCCCAGGCTGAGTTCAGGCCCCACGAAAAAAAAAAAAAAGTGTGCATCAGCACACCGGGCTATTGAGTTATTTATCTTTGTGTTTTTTATTTTTGTCTGGGACCGGGGCAAAGTATGGTGGACTGAGACCTCCGTCCCTGTGAACCAAACATAGATCCTGCTCCTTTAAGTTGATTTGTTCAGGGGATTGTGTGTGTGTGTGTGTGTGTGTGTGTGTGTGTGTGTATTTGGCCTGGGCCACCATCTCTTAGCTCTTATCACTCAAGGCTAGTGCTTTGCCACTTGAACCACAGCCTCACTTCCAGCTTTTTGGTGATTAAATGAGAGGTAAGAGTCTGAGAGACTTCCCTCTCCAGGCTGGGTTTGAACTGTGATCCTCAGGTCTAAACAACAGACAGTTCTCACATCTCAGCAAAAGGTAAAAACATGCTGGGAGTGTGTGTGTGTGTGTGTGTGTGTGTGTGTGTGTGTGTGTGTGTGTAGGGGTGGTGAGGGGTTTGACCACGTGTTTAAATGCTCAACCATAAAGCAAAACAAAACTCCAGTCTTTGGAGTCTTGTTGCAGATTCCCTGGTCTTTAAGTGGCTGCCTGTGCCTCAGTTTCCACAGATGCAGAAGTGGCTGCCTGTGCCTCAGTTTCCACAGATGCAGAAGTGGAACCGGGGTTGGAGATGCAGGCAGGGCGTCCGGGTGGGTGGGTGGGTGGGTGGACGTGTCCCCCGAGGTGCAGCCGCAGGTAGGAGGGGGCGCTGGGCCTGGGAGGGGCGGGTGGGGCGCGGAGAGCTAAATCGGGCCTTGGGGTGAGCGGCAGGAGCAGCTGCAGGTGTCCGCCCCGCCCGCCCCGGCCCTCCCCCGGCCCTCCCCCCTGCCCTCCTTCTCCCTCCGTCCCCGGCTGGTCTGACCGGTTTGGGCCGCCCCGCCTGGCACTCGGCTGGGCGGAGTCACCGCCTGCCGCCCGCCGGGGCCGGTCAGTGTCTCCCCGGGGACCCGGGAGCGTCCAGACCTGGGGAGCTGGCCGGCTGGCGGGGGCCTTTTGGGGGGGCTGGACGCCCGCAGGGATGGGGGGCGATCGGCAGCATTACTACGGGAAGCACGGTAGGCCGGAGGTCCCTCCTTCCTCCCCCCAGCCCCCCCTGCACCCCGGACTGGCCGTCCACGCCGTGGCCTCCTGGAGACGGGGGACACTCAGAGCACCCCCGCCCCCCCCCCCCCCCCCCCCCCCCCCCCCCCCGCTCCAATCTTGGGCGAAGTCTCCCCGAGACTCTGCAGACAGACTCTTCATCGCCCCGCTTTGAACTGTCCCCCTGGCCCCCTTGGTCCATGGGGGGGGTCCCCCTCTTTCGCCCACCCCCTCAGTGGTGATCGCCAGTTGATCATGACTTTGTTCATCGTTGGTGACTCCCCTTTTTGGAGCTTTGTGTGTGGGGGCCCTGTGGGGAGGTCCGGTCACAGGTCCAGGGCCCCCTAACTATCAAAGCTTCTGGGGCACTTGAGGAGGGGTGGGGGGGCACACCCCAAGTTCCGGGTCCTCTGAGACACCCAGTTTTTTTTCTGATGTCTTACAGGGACTCCACAAAAGTATGACCCTACCTTCAAAGGGCCTATCTACAACAGGTAAGGGCACTTCCTGCGTTCCTGGGGTGGGGAGGAGGGTGGTGGTGGAGGGGACCCCCCTCCCAACTCTTTCCAACCATCTCCCCATCTGACTTCCAACTAACTGGTGAGAAGTATTTTGCAGCCTGCCACAAGGACTAGTTTGTTTAATGCACAAAGAGTCTTCACAAGCGGGGTTTGCTTGGTTGGTTTTTGGGTGCCAAACCCAGAGGCTTGGCAGACTGACACCCTGATCGCCTCTACCACCCAGCGTGGCCCCGCTGCTGCTCATGTTTGCTTTCCTTCTCTGTTATTTCTCTTTTCTTCTGTCTTCCCTTCCCTGCCTTTTTCTTCCCTTCTCTGCCCCTTTTTTTTCTTCTTCTCCCTCTTTTTCTTCCTCTTCCTCTTCCCTTCCTGTTCCCTGTATTATTATTTTGTGTGTGTGTGTGTGTGTGTGTGTGTGTATGTGTGTGTGTGTGTGTCAGTACAGATGCTTGGACTCAGGGCCTGGGCCCTGTCCCTGAGCTTTTTTTGCTCGTCTGGTACTCTACACTGGAGCCACAGTGCCACTTCCGGCTTCTTGGTGGTTCATTGGAGATAAGAGTCTCACAGCTAGCTGGGCACTGGTGGCTCACGCCTGTCATCCTAGCTACTCAGGAAGCTGAGATCTGAGGATCACCTTTCAAAGCCAGCCTGGCAGGAAAGTCTGTGAGACTGTTCTCTCCAGTAAACTCCCCAGAAAAAGCCCGAAGTAGCTCTGTGGCTCCAGCGGTAGAGCGCTAGCCTCGAGGACAAACTGGGTCAGGGACAGTGCCCAGGCCCTGAGTTCAAGCCTCAGGACTGACCCAAAAATAAATAAATAAGAGTCTCACAGGGCTGGGAAGGTGGCTCACTGGTACAGTGCTCTCCTAGCATGCATAAAGCCCTGGGTTCGATTCCTCAGTGCCACACATACTGATGTGGCTCAACTGGTAGAGTGCTAGCCTTGAGCAAAAGAAGCTCAAGGACAGTGCCCAGGCCCTGAGTTCAAGGCCCAGGACTGGCATCAGAAAAAGAAACAGAAATGCCAGACGCCAATGGCTCATACCTGTCATCCTAGTTACTCAGGAAGCTGAGATCTGAGGATCCCAGTTCAAAGCCAGCCCGGGCAGGAAAGTCCAAGAGACTGTCATCTCCAATTAACCATCTGAAAAATGGAAGTGGCGCTGTGGCTCAAGTGGTAGAGCGTTAGCCTTGAACTGAAGAGCTGAAGGACAGCGCCCAGGCCCAGAGTTCAAGCCCTATAACCAACAACAACAAAAAAGAAGAGGAGTCTCAGATTTTCCTGTCTGGGCTGACTTCAAACTTACCATCTTCACATCTCCGCCTCTCGATGAGCTGGGCTTACAGGCCTGAGCCACTGCCATGGGGCTCCAAATAGCATTGAGATATCAGCATACAGTAGGTGTAGCCTTGAGCTCAGGAAAGTGGGCACATGTGTGTCCCCATGCTACGTCCACAGGGTGTGTCCTGACGCTCTTCTCTCCTCCCCAGGGGATGCACGGATGTCATCTGCTGCGTGATTCTGCTCCTGGCCATCGTGGGCTACGTGGCTGTGGGTATCATAGGTGGGTAGGATTTGGCGCTGTCTCTGGGGCCGGGCAGGGCTGGACTGAGGAATGGCAGGGTCTCAGTGTCCCGGGTTCCCTCCACAGCCTGGACTCACGGGGATCCCCGGAAGGTGATCTACCCCACTGATAGCCGGGGCGAGTTCTGCGGACAGAAAGGCACAAAAAACGCGTGAGTCAGCCTCCCCAGGACCTGCTGGGTTGGGGAGCCAAAGAAGGGCTAGTGAGCACAGGGAAGGTTCTAGGCTTTTCCTATTGCTGGTCATCTATTTAGTCCTATCAGTGCATTATGGGTTTCCTTTAGTATCGGGTGAAGATGGATTGGAGGAGCCTTTGCAGAGATTAAAATTCTGGGTGCTCATGTCCCTTTTTGATTTATTTATTTAGTTAATTTTTGTCAGTTGTGGGGCTTGAACTCTGGGCCTGGGCGCTGTCCTTCAGCTCTTCAGCGCAAAGCTATTGCTCTACCACTTGAGCCACAGCGCCACTTCCGGTTTTCAGAGCGGTTTATTGGAGGGGTTTATTTTCTGCTTGGTGCTGGTTTTGAACAGAGATTCTTGGATCTCATGAGTAGCTAGATGGACAGACATTAAATCATGAATTGCAATAGCTGAGACCATGTAAACACTATGTAAACAGTTGTTACATTGTATTTTTAAAGGAATCCCAAGGAAAGGAAGCTTGTACAATGTGTGTGTATATGTATATATATATATATGTGCGTGTGTATATATGTGTATATATATATATATACACACATTTATTTATTATAATCGATCCATTTCTTCCCTTGTGCTACATTGCCAGCCACTGGTATTGTTTTCCTGATGCTTTTTATATAGGGTGGCTTGGGAAATCTTGACTCTTTCCATTCTTCAACCTCAGGAATAAACCCTTCCTGTTTTATTTCAACATTGTGAAGTGTGCCAGCCCCCTGGTCCTGTTGGAATTCCAATGTCCCACTCCTCAGGTATCCTGTCCCCTACCTGCCCTCATTCCTTTTCCCACTTCCTATCACACAGCACGGATCCTGTGTCTGCCCTTCCCTGCCCTGCCCTGCCCTGTCCATCCTCATCGTTCTGTCCTTCCAGATCTGCGTGGAACAATGCCCGGACCGCTACCTCACATTCCTCAATGCGCGCAACTCCAGAGACTTTGACTACTACAAGCAGTTTTGTCTTCCTGGATTCAATAACAATAAGGTGAGGGACTTGAACTCAGAGCCTGGTCACTATCCCTGAGCTGCTTTTTTTTTGGGGGGGAGGTCAGTAGTGGGACCTGAACTCTGGGCCTGGGCGCTGTCCCTCAGCTCTGCAGCTCAAGGTGAGCGCTCTACCACTTGAGCCACAGCGCCACTTCTAGTTTTCTGGTGGTTTATTGGAGATAAGAGTCTCTCGGACTTTCTTGCCTGGGCTGGCTTTGAACCGTGATCCTCAGATCTCAGCCTCCGGAGTAGCTAGGATGACAGGTGTGAACCACTCTCTCTCTCTTTTGCCAGGGGGTGGCCGAAGTGCTTCGAGATGGCGAGTGCCCTGCGGTCCTCACCCCCAGCAAACCCCGTGAGTGTGGCGTGGGTGAGGGCAGGGACAGAGCTTGGACCATCCGTGGGGGGCGGTGGGTGACACGCTTCTCTCCCTCTGCTCCGTCCAGTGGCCCAGCGGTGCTTCCCCGCCATCCACGCCCACAAGGGGGTCCTCATGGTGGGCAACGAGACGACCTACGAGGACGGGCTGGGATCTCGGAAGAACATCACGGAGCTGGTGGAGGGCGCCAAGTGAGCCCCCCCCCCCAGCAGCATCACTGTCTCCTGGGTGGGGATAGGGTGGACACTTTGGAGGGGAAGGGGCACAGCCTGATGGGAGAAATGGAGGCTGATCTGAGCCTCCTCTCTCTTCCCTCCAGGAAGGCCAATGGAGTCCTTGAGGCCCGGCAGCTGGCCATGCGGATATTTGAAGATTACACGGTGTCCTGGTACTGGATTGTCATGTAAGAGACTATGGCCCCGCCCCGGATGCCACATTTGCCGGGAAGTGGGGAGATGTGCTGACACTCACCCCCTTCCCCCCATTTTATCCCCCAGAGGCCTGGTCATCGCCATGGTGTTGAGTCTCCTCTTCATCATCCTGTTGCGCTTTCTGGCTGGCATTATGGTCTGGGTGATGGTCGTCATGGTGATTCTGGTCCTGGGCTATGGTAGGTGGTCTTCCCTTTCCTGTGGGTGGCGGGATTCTCGCGCCCCTTGGTTGTGGCAATGGCCTGACAAGAGATTTAAGCCATAGTGGGGAGCCAGTAGCTCACACCTGGCATCCTAGCTGCTCAGGAGGCTGAGATCTGAGGTTCATGGTTCAAAACCAGCCTGGGCAGGAAAGTCCATGAGACTCTTATCTCCAGTGAACCCCTAGAAAACCGGATGTAGTGCTGTGGCTAAGTGGTAAAGCGCTAGCCTTGAGCTGAAGAACTGAGGGACAGCGCGCAGGCCCAGAGTTCAAGCTCCAGAAATAACCAAAAAAAAAAAGATTTAAGCCATATTGGAGTACTGGTGGCTCACACCTATCATCCTAGCTACTCAGGAGGCTGAGCTCTGAGGCTCGAGGTTTGAAATCAGTCTAAGTAGGAAAGTCCATGAGGCTCCTCATGTGCAGTTCAGCAGCAGCTGGAGGTGGAGTTGTAGTTCAAGTGGTAGAATGCTGACCTTGAGCGAGCGAGGAAAGAGGATCTGAGTTCAAGCCTCAGGACTGTGAGCAATGAGAGGTGATCGATGGATATGGGCTCGAGGCATTATTGGGGGACAGAGCTGCGGGGTGCTCCAAGTGGGAACAGAGGCAGCAGCAGTGGACAGGTGTGGGTAGAAGTTAAAATATTGGGGGCAGTCACAAGGTTAGGACCTGGGAATTCAGGGTGGGGGGAGGGTCTGTTCAGAGAAGGCGTTACACGTGGCTGTGAGCATGGGGGAAGAGTCACATTCCGAGAAGGAGTGTAATAAGGCAGGAATTTGTATGTCACACAGGAAAACAATACAGCATTGTGGAAAACAGATTTTTGTAAACAGGTGGGGACGCAGGGCAAGGACTTAGTCAGCAAGCTGGCTAGGAGACCTTAGAAGTCTTGGCATAAGAATAATTTTCCTAAGCTGGGCGCTGGTGGCTCACACCTGTAATCCTAGCTACTCAGGAGGCTGAGATCTGAGGATCGCGGTTCAAAGCCAGCCCCAGCAGGAACATCCTAGAAACTCTTATCTCCTGTAAACCACTCAGAAAACTGGAAGTGGTGATCTGGGTCTAGAGCGCTGTCTTGAGCTGAAGAGCTGAGGGACAGTGCCCAAGCCCAGAGTTAAAGCCCCACAACCAACAACAACAACAAAATAATAATAATTTTACTTGCCATCTGGGTGAAGATGTTTATGTTAGTTTGTTATTTTTTTTTTTTCTTTTTGGTTGGTCCTGGGGCTTGAACTCTGGGCTTGGGCGCTGTCCCTCAGCTCTCCAGCTCACAGCTAGTGCTCTGCCACTTGAGCCACACTGCCTCTTCTGGTTTTCTGGTGGTTCATTGGAGATAAGAGTCTCACAGAGCCGGGCGCCGGTGACTCACGCCTGTAATCCTAGCTACTCAGGAACTCAGGAGGCTGAGATCTGAGGATCGTGGTTCAAAGCCAGCCCTGGCAGGAAAGTCTGTGGGACTCTTATCTCCAATAAGCCACTAGAAAACCAGAAGTGGCGCTGTGGCTCAAGTGGTAGAGCGCTCACCTTGAGCTGAAGAGCTGAGGGACAGCACCCAGGCCCAGAGTTTAAGCCCCACGACTGACCAAACAAAAAGAGTCTCACGGACTTTCCTGCCCAGGCTGAACCTTGATCCTCAGATCCAGCCTCCTGAGTAGCTAGAATTACAGGCATGAGCCACTGGCTCCCAGCTGTGTTAGTATTGTGTGTGTGTGTGTGTGTGTGTGTGTGTGTGTGTGTTGGTCCAGGGCTTGCATGAGGGCCTGGGTGCTGTCCTACCTTGAGCTTTTGTGCTCAAGGATACTTCTACTTCTTTTTTTTTTTTTTTTTTTGCCAGACCTGGGGCTTGAACTTTTGCTTGCTAGGTGAGCACTCTACCACTAAGCCATATTCCCAGCCTTCAAGGATACTCCTTTTCTTTTGGGTCCGGTTGTGGGGCCTGAACTCTGGGCCTGGGCGCTGTCCCTCAGCTCTTCAGCTCAAGGCGAGCGCTCTACCACTTGAGCCACAGCACCACTTCCGACTTTTTTTTTTTCTGCTTATGTGGTCCTGAGGAATCGAACTCAGGGCCTCATGCATGCGAGGCAAGCGCTCTACCACTGAGCCACCTTCCCAGCCCCTTCAAGGATACTTCTATATCTCTAATCCCATCCCTTGGGAGGCTGATGTGGGAAGATTGAGAGTTAAAGGCTTGCCCGGGCTACAGAGAGAGACTGTGTCTCAAAAAACAAAACAAAACAACAAAACAAAAAAACCAACATTGGCTGGGAAGGTGGCTCAGTGGTAGAGTGCTTGCCTAGCATGATGAAGCCTTGGGTTCGATTCCTCAGCACCACATACACAGAAAAAGCCAGAAGTGGTGAAGTGGTGCTGTGGCTCAAGTGGTAGAGTGGTAGCCTTGAGTAAAAAGAATCTCAGGGACAGAGCCCAGGCCCTGAGTTTAAACCCCAGGACTGGCAAAAAAAAATCAGCAACAACCCCTAAAAGAAACTCTTTAACACAGTGACTAGGGATAAACACTCTGCTGCATGACAGGTGTTCAAATCCTGGCTCAGCTACTTTCTTGAGCAAGTGACTAAAGGCGTGGTGGGTCCCATCTGCTCCTCAGTGTGAGGAGTATAATTCCTGTTTACTCTGTAGAAGGCGCCAAGAGATGGTGATAAGGGGGAGATAAGATCAGGGAACAGCCGGGGGACCCAGAGGTGTTGCTCAGGAAGCCATGTGTCACACTCTGACTGTTAATTTAAGTTCTCCCAGATGATAAATGCCTTGGCAACTCAATCTGAGGACCAGATCTCAAAATGTTTATGTCAGTGTGTTGGTGCCACTGCCTGTAATCTCAGTACCCAGGAGGCGGAGACAGAATGATCCCTAGTCCCACGGATTTGGGGCCCCCGGGCTGGCAATTCTCAGATCTCAGCCTTCTGAGTAGCTAGGGTTATAGGTGTGAGCCACTGCACCCAACTTCCTCCTAGCATGGGGTGGATGGGGTGGGCTGTTACTTCTGTTCTTTGCGGGGGGGGGCAATTCTATCTGTTTTGCAAAGTTGGGGGGTAGGGGGGAGTAGTGAATGGACTGAGGTTTGGATTTTGTACAGGAATCTTTCACTGCTACATGGAATATTCCCGACTGCGCGGTGAGGCTGGCTCCGACGTGTCTCTGATAGATCTTGGTTTCCAGACAGACCTCCGAGTGTACTTGCACTTAAGACAGACCTGGATGGCTTTCAGTGAGTCGCAGCGTCCATCGCACTGTTGTAATGAAGCCTTGGGGTGGGGTGTGGGGGGGGCGGGGACAGGGCAGGATAGGAGAAAGGAGACAGGGCAGGATGAGGTGCCCGAGTAGCTCATCCCCCCCCCCCACTTGCAGTGATTATTCTGAGTATCCTGGAAGTGATTATCATTTTGCTACTCATCTTTCTCCGCAAGAGAATTCTCATTGCCATTGCGCTCATCAAAGAAGCCAGCAGGTGAGAGGCCCAGGGAGGTTGGGGGTTGGGGGGCCCTGGCTGGGGTTGTCTTCTAGGGCTGTTTAGATCCTGATGCTGCCTCTCTTGTCTTCCCCAGGGCTGTAGGGTACGTCATGTGCTCCATGCTCTACCCGCTGGTCACCTTCTTCCTGCTGTGTCTTTGTATCGCCTACTGGGCCAGCACTGCTGTGTATCCATCATAATAAGCCAAGGAAAGCCAGGTTGGGGGCGTGGCTTCATGAAACGGGTGTGATCCAGCATGAAGGGGTGTGACTCAAGTGTCAGGGGCGTGGTCCAGCAGCAAGGGGCGTGGCTCAATGGTAAGAGTGCCAGCCTAGCAAGTACTTAAGGCCTGGAGCTCAAACCTCTCCTCTTAAAAAAAAATAAAGGAGCTGGGAAGATGGCTCAGTGGTAGAGTGCTCGCTTGGCATGCATGAGGCCCT